CCATCAACTCGAAAACAACATATATATCCTTGAATTCTCTCGGACATGGAGGTAACAGAATATGCTTTATTTCTACAATGTCTGGATGTCGAAGCAACCTTAGGAGCTTTATTTCTCTAAGAATACGAGTGGCTTCAGAGACATGCTCAAAAACATTGTTGATCTTCTTTATCGCTACCTTCTTTCCTGTATGAGTATCAACTGCTGATGCAACAACACCATAGCTCCCCTTTCCAACAACCTCTTGGATTTCATATTGATGTGCTTCACCATATTCAGTGAAGAATTCCTTGAAAGGCATTGTCTGAGATATTAAAAGACTTTATTAGAACTGTACATGCCCAAGTCCATTTAAGCAGACCATCAGTCCATTCTCCAACCAATATGGGACTTTAACTGGCTCGTGAGGGGAGGATTGCCCAAGACCATATAAGCAAACCATCAATACATTCCTCAACCAATGTGGAACTTTAGCCCACTCTAACACTTACATTAATTTTCAGTGATTTTGTGGAAAGTGTTCAAGAAAATAAGGAAATAATCCTCTTAAGTGTCGGAAAATGATATGATGGGGATCCGGTAATCATTTATGCTAGAGAATCAAATGCAAACTTGATGAACCACTCTAGGTAATATTGACTCAAGTGCGAGTTATAAAGTAGTCATGGGAAATCGAACACTAGCAATGAAAATTGATAACATTCATAGTTTCACAGAGACACAAAAAGTGGCAATCACAAATCAACAGCTAAAACTAACACAACTACTATGCAGGTGAACAACAATAAGGAAAACACCATTACACATGAATAAATTAAACTTAATGATGAGAATGGCTAAATTGTTTATAACAACAACAACATACTCAGTGAAATCCCACAAAGTGATGTCTGGGGAGGGTAGACTGTACACAGAACTTACCACTAGAGAGATTGTTTCCAAAAGACCCTCGACTCAAGCAAATCAATGCAGTAATTAAAAGGGAAAAAAAAGAAGTAAAGTTACCATCTTTTTAGTATTTAGACTTCAATTTAAGATGCACCTGTTTAAAATCACATCCAAGACCTACAATATGTCAAAAAGTTAAAAATAAGTGCAATGAAAGTTTTAAGAAAAATCAAAATAAAAGTTTATACCTCTGAATTATGGTTAGGGATAACAGCTCTTAGATAATAATAATAATAATATGTCTTCTTCTGTCCACACTTTCTGGTAAGACTTTATATTTATACATTCATGAAAGTGTAGCACGTCTAAAGAAACGACCAGGTAAAAGCAACCCCAGTTGAAAGCTGTTATATTTATATCAGTAAAATATTAAAATACTATATAATAAAAATTTTTAAAAATAGACTAAATTAGAATATGTCAGCTTTACTTTTCCATATCACAATGTTCCCTCAAACAGCTTTATCCAAACAATAATAAAGTAGAATTGAGGTACAGGAGATAATTTCAATCAATACTATTCGAATAGACAATTCATTTGTTTGAATCCAGAAAATATGAAAATAGAATGTGTAAGGAAGTTATGAAGAATTAGAAAGAAAGAGCAGACCTTTTGCAAACTGAGGTAACTAGTGAGAATTTCTTCAGTGAAAACTTAAAGGCTTTAGTCAGTTAGGATAAACTGATAACAGCCAACATTTTACCTATTCTTCAGGATCCTGTTTTGTTTTAGCTTATTTCACGTTCATTAATAAAAATATAAGGTATGATTTATTATGTTGATAATTTTTATCATATGTTTCTCGAGAATTGAGCACTATTAAGATACTTACTGTTTTTATTAAAGTGACACTTATTTTGGGATGGATAAGGTGGATAACATGAGCGTTAGTTAAGGGAACAATCAATCAAGCATGTATTAATTTAAAGCTTAGTTGTACAAATGTTTTTGATTATATATTATGATATTTTATAAATAAATATAAATGAATAAGCATCGTGGACATAAGATGTACATTTAATTTATATCTACCAAACTCTACGCACATTTATTTTTGGTACGGCCAAGGACAACATTTTTAGTTGACAAATTGCTTGTTTAATACAAATTTTATAAGCCAAATATACATATAAATTTTTTTGGAAACACGTCATTCCAAGCTTACAAATTATTATTCAAAAGTATTCTAACTACATATAAAATTACCAGATCAGTGGATTAACTTGTTTGATTTGAACTTTGAAAACATTCCTGATAAGTGATAACGTAGATGAGATATCCTATAATTATTGAAGATGAATTAATTAGTTAGTTATATTAATCTAACAACTGGTGGTTAATTGTTTACTAAGCCAACCACAAATAACGTGTTATCCTTTTTGATTTATTTAGAAATAATGATAGAAAGGGTTGACCTCGAACTTTAAGGAAATTGTCTTTTACTCTCATTTATAACTTAAATAAAAAAAATTATCTAATTTTTTTTTTTTAATTTGATGTACTTTATTATATTTTTCATGTGTGTTTTTTGTGAAAAAAAATATTATATAGCTAAAATAATATTTGTAACGAAATTATATCCCTACTGATCTAATGATAATTACAGAAATGACTTGATTAAAAAAAGTCAAAAGTAGAGAAGGAATATTATGCTATATTATTTCATTCAGTTTTTCTTATATTTCTTCATCTTGCTAGAGTTTGACCAACAACACAAAACACACGTGTCTCCTATTCGGTGTTCGGAGTCTGTATGGGAGTATGTTTCTCACTTAGTATTCGAAGTCCGTATTAAAGACTTGACTAAATTTGAATTATGCATTACTCTAATTTGTAATATTACGTATCTTATCAGATTTTTCGTTAATATATACACTTTTTTTTTTTCTGGCTATGAGATGTGGAGAAATTAAACCTTCAATATTAAGATTTTTCTTGGATTCTTTTGACAGCAACCTTTGATTTTATTAATTGAGTTGTCCAGTTGATGTAGACATAATTATTAGGAGAGTCTTAATTTTATCAACTAATTGATGTAATAAAGGTCGACTTTGAACCATAGATAAATTAGATGTATAATTAAATTAAGTAAAATGGTTATTTTATACTCCTTTTGTTTGTCGTGACAATTAAATAATGTTTCAAAGATATATGCATTTCAAAACAAGGTGGATGGAATATGTAGTTTGTGTCTTGTTAAAATCAAATAAATTGTATTAACAAATTGCAAAGTCAAATTGACATACTTGAGCCAAATATATTGTATATGGGAAATTAGGAGTTCAAATTTAATAGTTTGTCTCTTCCACTTGCCAAAGAACATTATAAATTTAGTCTATCCTTGATATTTTATTTATTTGAGATCATTTGCTTGAATATGACGTTTAAAATATTGATGGAGAGAAGTTGCAAAATGAAGATATTACTAATTAAAAGATAAGTTTAACATAGAACATATATCTTGGAAAACATATAAAATTGTATGATCAAAACCGTTTAGCTAAAATTAATTTCTGAAATGTTCCAAAACAAAAAGGAAATAGTATATATTAGGTTGAAACATTAGCTCACAAAAATAAAGAGCAAGCAACATAAATCTGACCAATTTAGAGTTTAGTTATATGTCTTTGTTTATAGTTTTCGAAATTACCTTATGCACCACAGTTACTTTGCCAAATAGCACTTAAATACATGTATCTCAGGTACATGCTGGTCAAACACTATACCCAAAATAATCTTTAGCGATATTTAATTAACGACATTAGCTTAATTACCACTAAAATATGTATTTTTAGCGGCAATAATACTTTTGTAAAATGTCTTTAAAACCTATAGTGACATTGGATCCAATTACAATTAACTTATGTCGGTAAATGTTTTAGCACTCTTTATTAATGTATATATTTACTACTGCTAAAAGTTATTTTTGCTATAGTAAAATTAGGTGTAATTTATTCCAAATACACCTTAACCAAGTGTGATCACATATATCTGAAATACACTAATTATCTTGCTCGCCTCTCTTCCCATGTATCTGTATTTCAAAATGTATTTGGTAGCAAAAATATATGTATCTAGTATCAAAAGATGCATGTTGACTCTCTTGCTCGTCTCTTTCTTCTCTCGCTCGCATCTCCCTATGAATCCATATTTTAGAATGTATCTGGTAACAAAGATGCATGTATCTAGTATTAAAAGATACATATTAACTATCTTGCTCGTCTCTTTTCTCTCTTGTTCGCCTCTTTTCCTATGTATTTGTATTTCAGAATGTATCTGGTATCAAAAGATACATGTTAATTCTCTTACTCGCCTCTCTCCTCTCTGACTCACCTCTCTCTATGTATCTGGTATCAAAGATACATGTATCTAGTATCAAAAGATACATGTTGACTCTCTTACTCGTCTCTTTCCACTCTCACTTGCATCTTCCTATGTATAAGTATATTAGAATGTATCTGGTAACGAAGATACATGTATGTATCTGGTATTGAATGATACACGTTGACTCTCTTGCTCGTCTATTTCCTCTCACACCCGCCTCTCTCCCTTTGTATTTGTATTTCAGAATGTATCTGGTATCAAAGAAACATGTATCTAGTATCAAAAGATACATGTTGACTCTCTTGCTTGCCTTTCTCCTCTCTCACTCACCTCATTTAAGATACATATATCTAGTACTTTGTTATATGTATCTCACTTGAAATTTGAAGAAGTGATATATCTAACTTGAAATATGATACAAAATTATTAATTAGTGAGACAATATGTAATTATTTCAAACTAAATTAGTATTTTTTTTATCCTTAATAGTAGTAGACTTTATGGACAGATTATCAAGCCATATGGACCACTCTGGAAATTTGCCATCTGTGGGCCGAGGAAGCCCAAATAACATGAGCAGCTAAAGTAGGCAGGCCCAGCTACAGAGTACAGCCTACAAAATAGCAATTGCGCTGCTTCACGGCCCGGTCTCTCGCCGTCTCCTTTGAAACCCTAGTAAGTTTGCCTTGCTCTCCTTTTCTTCTTCCATTGAAATTGTTGTTTAGGGTTTAAGCTAATTGAAGCAGGAATTTTTGTTCATTGTTTGCAGGGAAGTGTAAGTTTAGACTTAAAGGAGTTGAAAATGTCGGACAAAACCAAAGGAAGAAAAGAGGAAGTGGTTACCAGGGAGTACACCATCAACCTCCACAAGCGCTTGCATGGCTGGTAATCACTGTTTTATTTTTGGATTTCTGTTTAATACGATTTTGATTATCACTTTCATAATCTGAATCAGTATTTTGTTATTGTACCAAAAAATACATCTTTTGTTAAATAGAGCTGATTGCTTTTATCAATTTTATGATTATATGAAGAAAAATTGTCCCTAGAATACATAGCTGTGTTGTTTCATATCCAATGTATGGATGCATTTTGAGTTCTAGAGTACGAATAACTGTTTCCGTTAGCTCATTTGACAACTGTGAGTGTGGAGCCTAAATGACATGAAAAAAGGCGAAGTTGGAGTATTAATTCTATAGAGTTGATCACTTTTGTCAATTTTATGGTTATCTGAATAAAATTTGACCCTAGAATATATAGCTGTGTTCTTTTATTTCCAATTTATAGTTGTCTGGTGCTTGTTTATCTTTTATGTGTATTATGTAAATGCCAGATAGTAGGGATGCATTTTGAGTTCTAGAGTATGACTAAGTGTTTCCACAGCTCATTCGATAACTATGAGCGGAACCTAAATGAGGCGAAGTTGACCAAAATAATGGGCAAAAAAACTTAATGAAAACTGTCTATAGCGTACTAATTAAGTGCTCTATACGACTTCCATTGACGAACCGAACGTAATGGCCATTAAAGTTCCCCAGCATCTTCCCCATTCAATATAGTGCACTAAATATTTAGTGCGCTATGTAGTTAGTTTTAGCTTGAAAAAACTGTTTATTTCCTGATGTTAACAAAATTTTAACTAAATTAACATTAGGAAAATAACTAATTTAATACATTAACATTATGGAATTAGATAAAGTAGTAAATAGCGAAGTAACACATTAAAAATTGAAATTAGTTTACTGATTGGCACATTAACAATTGAACAAATAACAAAGAATAAACAATTTACTAATAATAATTAAACAAAGAAAAAAAACACTTAGTTGAAACTATAAAACGATCAACTATTTAGAATACCAAGACTAATAAACAAATAAGCATGCTTTGGATATAGATGTATTAGACATTGACCACAATTTTTTTTGAAATAAATGCCTCAATTGAAAGTTGTTTAGAGTTGATTTGAATCGTATTGAAAGTTGATTTTTTCCTGTGATTTTTGCTTAGAATCTTGTTCTTTGACTCAAACATACCTATAATCTTGATTTTTGGGGAATTCTTAACGAGGTGGGGCTGGACCTTCAATAGCTTCACGTTTTTCTTTTTTGAAAATTGAATGGGGACCTGTGGGGAAGAAGAGGGTGAGGGACTTTTTAGGAGTTACATAGTGCACTAATTTAGTGCGTTTTATTGCTCCATTGACTTTAATGGCTATTAAGGCCTGGTCTGGCGATGGAAGTCATAATAAATTGTCCATTATTTTGGTCAACTTCCATCTTTTTTCATGTCATTTAGGTTCCGCTCTCGACAATATATAGATAGCCAGGCTATAGTGTGCATGAGTGAGAGTTTGCTAAAAATGTGTCAACAGTGGGCCAAATTGTCAACTAGTGTGAAAAGAAAAATGGAATAGTAAGTAAATAAATACCCATTTTATTCAAGGTGCTGTTAGGAAAGAATATTGACATGCTTCATAGCTATTGTACACCAAAATCACTCAGGTTAAGCTTAATTTATCACTTGAATGTATTGGCTGACTGGAATTTGTGGAATAGAGACTGTCCAGATATTTCATATTGCTGCTATGGTTATAATAATTTCATTTGTTGTGTGTTCTAACTGATTTTGAGTTGCTAATTGATCAAACTACCATTATTTTCATAGTATTTTAGTGTTCTCATCATCAATATGATGTGTGTGCTGTGTATTTTTGTTGATGAACCCCTCGATGCTCTCCTGTAAAATTATGACCTATTGAGTACAACTATACATTTCGGTATCCTAGACCAGGATTATTTGCTTTATTTTTTGGTGGGGAGAGATTTCTGTTGAACCTTTTGGCTTGGTGAAACTGTTAACAGCACATTCAGTTTAAGTATATATGTTGCTCCATGCCGAGTTAGTGGTCTAACATTAGAATGCTATGCTTTTGTAACAGCACCTTCAAGAAGAAGGCTCCCACAGCCATCAAGGAGATCCGGAAGTTTGCAGTGAAAGCTATGGGTACAAAGGATGTCAGAGTGGACGTGAAGTTGAACAAGCACATCTGGAGCAGAGGAATCCGAAGTGTCCCAAGGAGAGTCAGAGTTCGTATTGCTCGCAAAAGGAATGATGACGAAGATGCAAAGGAAGAGCTCTACTCCCTGGTTACCGTAACTGAGATCCCACCAGAGGGATTGAAGGGACTTGGCACCAAGATCATTGAGGATGAAGATTAAGCTATCAGTAGTGGAGAACGATAGACACATTATTTATTTGAGAATTATCAATTTTGTTTCGAAACTTAATTTGTTCTTGGACTAATATGGTCTACTTCACAATTCGGATTGTTAGATTTGTGTGCCTTGGGCTTACGAGATCCAATTATCCGTTGTGTCAGTATATGACCATGCAAGTTTTTTTTGTGATTTCTAGATTTCGTGCTGTGATTTTGGTTGTGCTTTATATAATAGTAAGTAGTATCTACAAGGATTAATGTTGGGTGTTCGTGCTAGCTAGAGAGCCTTTTTACTGTGATTTCTTCTTATTCGTCAAAGTTGTAGTCTGTGATCTTCATTTCTAACCCAACACCACACCATTATTTCTGGAAAACGTTGGAAAAATTGACAGAAGATTGTAAGGTGATGGCGAGTAAAGCCCAGATATCCAACCATACAACTCGAGTTCAAATGAATTGGTCATGAACAGCAAAATTAACTTCTTTGCTCAACTTGATCATTGCACAAAGGAACTTAGAGACTGCTAGACATTTGTCTTTCACTATAGGAAGTATAGTTCGACTACTCGATGACATCTACTTTTTCAGACAATCAATTAACATGTGGAAAGAAGTATTTTATTACAATCAGATCATCAACCTATATTTGCAGATCTTAGCAGACAAGTTCATGTACAAGGAGCCTAAAGAAGTTCTGAATCCCAATAACAAGTAACCTGTGTAAGGAATGAGGACTATATGCAAACAACGTGCACAGGATTCACCATTTCGTTGATTGGCATTTAGCAGCTTTGCTACCATCATTGAGGTAAGACTGGAAAGTCCGAACAACTTCCTCATACGTTGGCCTCTTGTAGTCTACAGCCTGTCATTATTTAGGACGACAAGGTTCAAAGTTAGTGTTTTGACATACGTAATGTATGAAGTTTAAAACTGGTTATCCACTTTGGAAAATACCTGCTCAATTACTTCTTCTGGTCTTGCCCACTTCCACTCTGAGAATTCTGGTTCTGCTTCACCAGTTGCTAAGTTGATTTCACTTTCAGCATTGGTAGATTGCATAAGAAACCTGCCAGACACATAAAATCCTTTTTTTATATGTTACAGTTGACTCCAATGTCTCTGGAAAAACTATTATTCGTTCATGAGAACAGAAATGTGTCATTTTGGCTGAAAACTAGACAAAGCTCGTCGACTGCAATTGTGCAAATGCTATTTTATATACTTCTTTCATCAACTGATGGGTGAATCCAAAACATAAACAAGTAAAAAAGCAGCATCAGGCGCTGATCTTTTAGCACAAGTACTTGCTATGGTGTGAAAGAAATTGATGCAAAATCTTCATTTTACAAAAGCAGAAGCAGGAAATCTAGATCCAATTGCAGGCTTCTGCTTTACCAAAACCAATACCTACGAGTAATTACACCATTAGCTCCCTACACTGCTTAGATCCTTCACTTGTCTTGACGTACTTATGTCGAATGAGTTTGACACGGGTGTGGGTACTTCGTGCAGTGCCTCTAAATTTAAAAACAGCAGAAAACTACATATACCCGTATTGGATATCTACACACTCTTTTCAAATACAAGTACCCACTACCAGGTAGATGCAACATAGTTATCCCCCAGGAGCACAGAAGTCAGGAAGTATTGGAATCAGATCACTGCCCACATAAGCTCCAAGTCCCCGAGTGTGTACAAGATCTATATACTGCTCTAACTCTCCATGATTATTTATCACTTGGGTTAACATAATTCAATAGAGGATAGACTAAGATGTAACTCAATCTAAAAGATAAATTTTCCTAATATCTTCTTGGTGCATCATTAAAACAGAACGACGCATCGAATGTAGGTGAATTCCAAAAAGACCCACTTCTCCCGACGTGAGATATGTTAGCATCATTTCATATTCAAAGAGAGGATATACAGCAGTGAACTATCAATACTGTGCTCAGGATGCACAGTTTTTCTTTCACATCAAATGATAAAGTATTTCTATTTATTTGAACTCCTTTAGGACATCAAATCCAATTATAGAATAAATCCACTGACTTCTTACATCACATGGAATTCGGAAACATGTTATATGAAGCTGGAAACATTCAGCAGAGACCAAGAGGAACGATAAGATAGTTCATAATAGATGGAAGAACTGCTTAACATAGTTTTTCTAATGCAAACGGCAAGAAAACAAGAGAACTCTAATAGACTGTTAATTTACACTCTCTTGCACAGGAATGGTGTTCATTTGGAGACTAATCCGTTGCTTTATCACATACACAGGAATGCTATCTTTTACCAGTGGAGGAGGACGAGTACAAATATCTACACGAATGCATGCCAACAAACAAATAAAGAAAGTGAAAAAAGTAGGATTAGATGGACATCTTAATTTTGGTCGTCAAATAAAGAGTTTAACTCATATATTTTCTGATCCACCTACGTGATCTACTTTTATAAGGCTTAACCGATACATGGAAGAGGACTGATGGCAGCAGCTTGAAACATTGTTTCATAGGCAAAATATGAATAAGGCATCTTTTAAGTTTGATAATGCAAACATACAAGGTTCCTCCCAGGAAAAAGGTGTTTATGGATAAACACAATATTTCTTGAAGATATATTTTGTCTTAAAAGAACAAAGCACAATTATATCAAGAAAACCATAGGATACCTACCATTTCTGTGCCTGTCCATGCCATTCTCCTCCCCAAAGACGGTTTACTTTGGCCTTTACGGCTGGTGGGAAGTCATACGTCAACCATTGTGGGACCTGACAATATGAAACAACCATTATAAATAAATGATCTGATCATTCGAGCTTTTGGACACCAAGGTTTCATGTTTCTTGCCGGATTAATACTTTGCGGTCAGAGGGGAATTAATTTTTAACATGGCATAATCTAGACATATACATCTAACTAATGAAAACTTTTCACGTTAGACGGACCTCTGCAATTATTTCAGCTGATGTTATTCCAGTTTCCTCTCGCAATTCCCTAATGGCAGCAGATTTAGGGTCTTCTCCATCTTCAATGCCCCCCTATTCAAGTTAATTACCATTAGATAGCTAAACAGTACCAGCACAGTTAAGAATATTGAGTAATAAAATGTACAAATCAGTGTGTTAGATTGCTAAAATACTTAGCATTTGATCCTTATATTACTAATCAAGGCTAGAATATAACTCTATTCCTACAAAAGCTAGTAGTGAGCCACTTTCTACAGAGAAGGTATTAATAACAATGTTACCTGTGGCATTTGCCATGCTCCGGGTACATTCAATCTGGAAGCCACAAAGACCTGCAATTGCATCATAACCAGATAAGACCCCAGATTTTACGTATTTATATTTAGTAAAGACACCATTTACAACATTTTTGTTGATCAAAATACATGTGAAAGTAATTATCTAATATATGATTACATTTATTGCATGTAAACAAAGACGGAAAAGGGGAAGTTGTAATTTGAATTCTGATCAAGTGAAACAAAATGCATCCGATACTTGACACGGAACTGCTTAAGGAGAGAAAATCAGAAGTAAATCTTACTGTTGCAAAGTCATTCCCTTCAAAACTTAAGTACTTTATAGGGAGAGATATATTGCTTTTACTGCTATTTGGAATTAATAACTTTGTTTATGGAAGTTGGGACATAACAATAGCAATCAGAGAACTCGTTTTTTTCTGCTCTCCTTTATTGATTCATTCAATTGAACTGTTCTACTCCCCATCTTTTCTCATTCCAGTCTAAAAACTTTCTAGCTCAACTTAACATACTGTTCAGGTTCTCGCCCCTCATGTTACTTCATTTATTTTTATAATCGTGGTTTCTCGGGCCTTGACTAATTCCATGGGATACATGTCACCTCTCACCAGCAACATGTAGCAACATGTACCAATTAGTAATTGTAACTCTGTCCACCAAGCTAGGATAGAAAGGAAGAAATCTCCTAATGTTTTTGACTATGCTTGGATTTGAGCTTGAAAACTCATGGCTCTCAACCCTACTCATTGACCACGAAGCCACACCCTTGAGTGTCATAGTCCTTTACTGTTCTTCTTTATGTTTTTGGGCTTGTCTAATTTTAGTCCTTTGTTTTCTAACTCAAGGATCGTCACTCTGTCAGCCCGAAGGGCTAAAGTTGCTCTTGTCAAGGACGGAGCTACTAAGGGGCCAGGGGGGTCATCCTAACCCTCCTCAACAGAAAATTACATTGTTTATACATGATTACAATTACTTTTAATGCATACATAATAGATGTTGAGCACGACTTCTTTGTGTGTTTACTTCTTCATATTTTGAACCCTCTTAGTGAAAATTCTGGCTCCGTCACTAAATCTTGTTTGACAAATTAAAAGGGTAAAACTACCTAGTGCTACAACTCAAATACTAAAAATCAACAATTTGATAAACGATGTAACTAACATAAGTAAAGTAAAAAATGCTCATTTTTAGCATCCCTAAATAGATTTTTCTTTTGTTTCTCAGAAATATTTTTTTTTAAAAAGAGAAAGATTTCCCTAAATAAATACAGGTTAGATCAATAAGTACACTAACAAAACATAAATATCTAAATCTCAATTTATTACCCTTTTTAGTACAAATATCAGTAATCATGTAATTTAATTTTACCAAACTCCAAAAAAAGTTGCTCAGATCCAAACAGAGAAACCCAACACATCACATAAGAAAACCCAGAATCAAACACCAGAAAAACAGAGTAAACATGGCTTTAAGCCTTCTATTTGTTAGTAAAATGAAAGAATTAATTGAATAAATGAGAAAAGTATACCAAATGATCATGATTGATGAGACAAATTCCTACGTTAGGACGATAACCACAAGGGAGATTCTCCATTGATAAATATGTTTCTTCTGGGTTTGAGAAAATAAAGTCAGAACTGAGAAGTTTCAGAGAGAGAAAGAGAAAAGATCACTATCAGAAATCAGAAATAGGCAGCAATATATATGATAAAAGTCAAAACTTGTACTACTGCAACTTTTAAAAATTAAAGTGCTAAAAAGAGTTTAGTGGACGGAATGAGGTGATGATGACGAACTTCGACTCAAGACTTCTGATTAAAAAAGAAGAGCTTTATTAGTATTTTTTATTTATTTAAGATCTTGAATTTGAATTCTGAATATACAGTTATTTTTGTTAGGAAGTGATTAACTTAATTTGTGACTACTCATAACTGAATTTGAGTTTTGACATGTTATTTTATTATTAAAAACAGAAATTATTTTAATGCATAAGTTAGATGAAGATCTGGTTGTTAAGAACAAACTAAATAAGAGTATTAAAAATTTAAGCTTTCTACTATACAAAAAGTGTGTCAATTATTTTGGAAAGAAAAAATAATATAGGCATAATAGATCATTAATTCGTTTGAAATATACTTGTACTGATTTGTATTATATCACGTACAATATATATGTTTACTTAGCTCATGTCAATAATAATGTCCCACGGGGTATGGACTCAACCCCATGTTATCTATGCTGGAATAAAGGAATTTAAAAGTAAAATGGGAAATTAAAGAAACTAGCATATGTAAGAGTTCTATTTATTGAAGTGTATATAATTAGTTTTTGATTTTATTAAATTGATAAATACTTATTATTTATTTGAATTTGACTTTATGTATGTAATTATAAAAATAAAAATAAGAAGAAGGTTTAGGTGATAGTACAAAATCTTGCCCCCGTTAAGAAGGAATACGAATTTAAAAATAGCTTTTAAAATAAGATCATCTTATGCATCGATATGATTATATAGCGGCGTGTGAAATATTGAAACAAAATATGTTAAAACTCTCATTTCCCCCTTTCTCGTACCAAATTTTTCCTTTGATTTTTATTTTATTCTTTTCTAACTATTAGGAATTGAAATTATTTTTTTCCTTTTCTTCTCTCTAAACCTCCTTTCAATCATAATCAACGCATGCAATATTTCATTGGCAATTCAACATTTTTTATTGTTTCATTTTATATGACAAAAGGATAAATGCCAATGAGTTACTATTTACTTGGATTATGTTTGAAAAGATGAATTAGAAAAAGAAAAATAATTTATTTATTTATTTTGGAAAAAAAATAAAAAGATCCTCATAAGTCGTAACAAAAAGAAAGGGACAAAAACAGTAGCATAAATAATTAGTGGGGAAAAAAGGTACGTTTGACTTTTTTTGGAGACTTTTGAGTGGAAAAAAGAATCTAATAATGGAAGTAGCATCATCTTCAGGTGGATTTGTCAAATATTTTTTTAATTTTTTTGGTTTTTCCCTCTATGTTTAATACCTGCATTGGAGTTTAACTATTTTAAATTTTCGCCGCATAGAATCTCATTTAAGAGGAAGTGTTTTCTACTAAAACTAAACTTTGATAATCAAAATTCAAACATGAGACTTCTGGTTAAAAGAAAAACAATTGACCCACAATTGTTGATGGTGATTTGTCAATATTTTATTTCATAAAGAAATGAATATAACCTTAATATCCACACCTTACTTTTTAGTTTTGACATTATGTAAGGAATCAATTAAAAAGCAACTTGTCATTATTATAATTAATAAATAGCATATGGGATTAGTACAAGTACTTAATTCAATGCATAATTAGAGGGGTAAAAGTCCACTTATATAATCACTTTTTCCCCTTAGTTAATAATCTAATTTCAATTTATCCAAAAGTCAATTAAATTGCTATTGCATCCTAAATTTGATAAGTCTTTTTCAATCGATGCTTTTACTACGTCGAAAAAGTGTTGCTATCATAAGATTAGTGTTATAATATAGGATTAATATAATGATGGTTTTTTAAATTTATCATTAAATGTCATTTAGATATTCAAATTAGGCTGAATCCATCAATGACCCTTAAAGTTGGCACTAAGTTTCACTTACACTCTGTTTGGATCATTATTACCCATTGTATTATATTGTATTGTATTGTATTGTTACTATACCTACAATATTTGTTTTGATTGTTACTTAAAATGTATTGTATTGTTAAATTTCGTTGTTACGTAACAATGAAAATCCCTATTTTATGGAACAACCGATTTGGTGTGTTCCCATTGTTACTTAATTTCTTTTTCCAATTATATCTTTACATAATATTTCAAAATACTATTTTACCCTTTACCTTATATTATTTAATTCTAGTCAAACCTCCTACCCTAGAATAATTAAGGATATTTTAGTAAAATTATAAATTACAATACAGTACGATACAATCAAACCAAACAATTAAAATGTTATTAAATAACAACAAACAATACAGTCTAGCCAAACATTGTATCTACCATACAATAGAGTACAATAGAGTACAATACAATACAATACATTATGAAAGAATGGGTAACAATGATCCAAACAGAGTGTTAGACACCTCAACTGGGTGATGTTCATTTTAGACATCTCACGTAGGGTTTCGTTGTGTCATTTTGACACTTTTGCTGACATGTCAAAAGGAGTGTGATACACTCAAAAATAAAGCGTGAAAGACTCAATTTAGCTATTTTTTATTTTATTTTCTCTTCTTCTTCTCCATTTTTCAAGCTACCACCTCCCACCATTTTTTGAAGCTTAAACTCCTTCAATGGAGGTCAAATTTTTTATTCAAATCCGTTTTCAAGTCATTTTTCTTCTTCTTCATTGTATTACTTTTCTAAATCTACAATCACTCCCTCCACCTTTTTTATTGGAAAAATGGATACCAACTGTGATGACCCGAAAGGTCATTTTTGGAAATTTTAAACTATTCGTTTAACTTGAGTTAATTAATCGATAGTTAGTGGGCTAAAGTGATCATTTATTTAAGATCCTATACCATTAGGGTCATGTGAAAAAAATAAATTAGAGTTAAATAGGGTTTAATAAAATAAATTTCTTTTCCTTTTCATTCCTTGCACGAGTTCATGCGGCGTCCCACTATCAAACTAAAAACGTTGAAGAAGAAAGCAGTTAACAAAGATTGTTCAGGTAAGGTTTAATTAGAATTCTCATCTTTGTATACGTGTTGGTCTATCTATGTAGTATTTTCTTAAGAATTGGATAGAAATTCATAATAATGATTATTATATTAATGAAGTGAAGGTGAGGAATTTAAATTTTAGAATCTTTAAGCCATATGTGGCTGCCGCATGTGTTGGTGGGTATGGTGTCTTTAAATGTGATAATTATTACTATGAAAGGATGTATTATACTATTATTTACCTAGCTACTATTGAAATAGTTCTCTGGATTAGTACTTTAACAAATTAGTATTTTATTCTCTGATTGGAACATTAACTTAAGGATTTTGGGGATACATGCTATGAATAATTATGGCATAGGGGGAGGACACCGTGAGTAATAGTTAAGGATAGTATATATGAAGGGAAATTGGTATAATTTTTGAATCCTGCAAATTGTTTCATCGTTGGAAGTTATTTGGAGTCTAGTTGAGATAAATTAGTGGTTGGCATTAGAGAGGGCAATGAATGATAATAAAAGTAAAATTATTGGATGAGAGAATAAGGTATATTGCTGTATGTTTGTACCGTGAGTTTGTTCTGGAAATTTAAAGGTAAGTATAGGGAGTTAATTGAATAAGTAATGGTGAGCCAATCATTGGTTGGAATAAAGGGTGTCAAAAAGGAAGGAAAAATAAATAAATATATGATGGTGAAATGTTAATTGGCATCAAGAGATACGAACTTGATTATAAAGTCTAGCGAATTTTTAGGTCAAGGCTAAACCTATAGTAATATGGATGTTGTTAGTTTCGAAATCTTATTGTGACTATGTACTTGAATAGATTGCATTGATTTGGAATCTCAACGAAAAGGGAAGGCTCAAGTCTTGGAGTGAATTCTTGATCAATTGAGGCAAGTGGATTTCTAAACCCTTGTTAAGCGTATGGAATTCGTGTATTTCCTTGTGGTGTATGTTTGGGAGTAATGTGATCAATTGTTTGTGTAATGTGTTGAGAATTGTTTGAAAGACTTGTTGAATCATTGTGTTGTTGTGATTTGTGCAATGTTATGAAAATGGTCATCTCCTCATTATTTATGTGAACATGTCATTTGCATTGTTCTGAGACGTGGTTGTGACAAGTGTTATGTGCATTGAGAAAGAATAAGAAATTAAAGAGGATGTACCATTTCGAGGGACGTATCGCGCGCTGCGATGGATACTATATTTCGAGGGACGTGTCGCGCGCCGCGACGGATATTATATTTCGAGGGACGTATCGCGCGCCGCGATGGATGCATGGACAGATATGTCCCCCATGGGTCCCGGACTGAGAGACAGCGGGTGTGTATCATTAGGTCAGACATGCATCATTATACTTGACATTGCATTTCATTGCATTGCACATTTTTATTATTAATGAACTTGATCTTGTGTGTTGCTGATCTTGTGAGTGCCTTTCTGTGAAACTATTGATGAATATTGAGCTGTTATTGAGAATATATGATCTGTTAGAGTGCTATTGTTGAGCTGTATGCTTGGTAAACTATGAATTGTTAGGTTAGGCTGGTTTTATGCAGGTCGTAGTTATGGAGGTTAGGATGGGGTGTAAGGAGTACCTGTATTCTGTACCCTTAACTTGTGTTTAGAGGTTTGCTTGTTGAGTACCGTGTGGTTTGGTACTCACCCCTTGCTTCTACAATCTTTTGTAGGTTACGAGCTCGGATCTTCGTGATACCTTCCATTCTCTTCGTTTCCGAGGCTTTCTGTGGAGATCTGAGAGGTAGCTGTTTGTCATCTCAGCGAACCTCCTTACTCTTGTTTATGATTTTGTTTTTACTTGAAAGACAACATCATTTGAGACTTGCGTATTTTATTTCAATTCTAGTATTTACATTAGAGGCTTGTGCACGTGACAACCAGGTTTTGGGGATTGAATTAAGTTGACTTGTTTTCGTAATAGTAATTGCTATTGAACTTTGCTTTATTTCCGCACTT